GGGACCACCACGGTACCACCTGAGGGGAGGCACAGGGATTTGTTCTGTTGGCATGTTGGCATGGTCCTTGATGCTATGGGCTGTCTGTCCCCTACCTAGCAGGTATCGCCCACCTGCAGGTAGGGAGCAGCCCCCGTATGTTCTCTCTTGAACACGGTTCTGGCTGCTACGAGGTTCCTCCTAGGACTATAATTAGAAGTAGTGGTACTGTGGTAGGTAGGTGGTATGAGGTGAAATTGAGAGAAGAATGTGGCTTACTTTTAAAAATATATATATATGTAAAAGAAAAGGAAAAAAAAAAAAAAGTATTCTGTTTGCGTTCTGCAAGCGTTGAGGCCGCATGTCTCGTCGGGATCCAGGCTCTGGAGAAGATTCTCTCTCGTGACGATTTTGATGGTGACAGCTCCTCCCCAAGTCGGGACAGAAGACAGCAAATATAGGACCGAAGGAGCAGTTTGCTGCCACGTGGCAGCGATTTATTGTTAATAATATATATATATATATATATACATATATATATCGTCAATATATTTTTTAAGGTAAGCTATATTCTTATCTCAATTTCACCTCCATTGATTGATTGACAGATTGAGCAATCCATTGATTAATTGATTGATTGCTTCATGGGTTTGATTGGTTGGTTGTGGAGTGAGTGACTAACGGACGAGTCCAGTCGGGCGATCAAAATGAAAGTCCTCTCGGTTGAAAGTCCCGCCCCACTGCCCCTCGGCAATACCCTGCAACTACCGCCAATGCAAACTGATGTCTCCCTATGCAGGCAAAGAGTGTCCTCTTTGCCCGTTTGTTTTCCTATTTTGGAAATTTATAGCCTGTATCTCGCCGTCGTTGACAGTGTCGGCCTTTGGCAATGGACCACGTGGCAGATTCTGCACGAGCCATGAGGTCTGTGGATCCAAAAGAGGAAAGTCCCCTCAAGCATGTAGAGGAGAGGCAGTATGACTTCACCATCCTCAAGGTGAGATGACTTTGATAATGATACCCATATACTTGTTCTTTGCTGCAGAAAGGAAGGGAAACGAACGAACGAACGAAAGAAAGAAAGAAAGAAAGAAAGAAAGAAAGCCGTTCTTTTCTGCAGAAAGAAAGAAAGAAAGAAAGAAAGAAAGAAAGAAAGAAAGAAAGGAAGGAAGGAAGGAAGAAAGAAAGAAAGGAAGAAAGGAAGCTGTTCTTTGCTGCAGAAGAAAAGAAGACAGAGAAAATTTAAGCCGTCCTTGCTGCAGAAACAAAGAGATAAAATCTATAACTGTTCTTTGCTGGCAGAAAGAAAGAAATGAAACCTAAATAAAACCTTTTAAGCTGTTCTTTGCTGCAGAAAGACAAAAGCGAAAGAAAACTATTTTAACTTTTACATCTGCTGAAATACAGGATGCTTCGAAAAAACAAGAATTTTCTAGAAAAAAACGAGATGATCTTCATAAATTAGCTGAATCAAATCGTAGCTTTTCTAAAAAAAAAAGAAGTTTTTCTCATTATCGTTGGTGGTAAGAATGTACATATAGAAATCACCACCAACCAAGCTGTTCTTTGCTGCAGAAGCACAGAATTCAAAAAAAAAATTAAGCTGTTCGTTGCTGTCCAGTACAAGGAACCAAGCAACAAGCATCCAATTTTTCCATTGCATAGAAAAAAAAAACACGAAGCAGAGCAAGCACAGTTTTATTTTTTAAAATTTAAGAGACTAAAGCCGAAAGCAGATTACAATATAGCTGAGTCCCACTGCAGTGCAACTGCCTATACTACTTCCACATCAGAACCCCACTACTTCCCGCAAGACATTCTCTCTCTCTCTCTCTCTCTCTCTCTCTCTCTCTCTCTCTCTCTCTCTCTCACACACACACACACACACACAC